GCGTCGCCCTCGTGTGGGGAGGAACCAGAGAAAACGAGCCCGCCCTTGCCCAAGCTATGGCCCCTTGGGCCGCATCCAGGCGCGTGGCCTCAAGGGTGGCCTTCGCAAGGTCCCTGTGGGAAGGAGGCAAGGCTTTGGACGCGCGCGCAAGGACATCCTTCCCTTTGGCCGTGGGCTCTGGGGGCACAGTTCGAGCAAATGCACATGCTGGGGCGTGGCGTGTGAACCACGCGCAAAGCAAAACAGTTCCTTCCATTTCGGTATATCAAGGATGCGGTGAGACTGGTGAGCAAACTGACCTCGCATGCGCCCCGCCCCCCCCCGTCTCCAAGACCAGGGCCTCCCCCAAGCGTCGCGCCGCCTCGGTCCCGTCTCCCCCCGTCTGGGGGCGGAGCAAGTGGAGTGCCGGGGCGCTGGGTAGCAGCTTCATTCTCCAAGCGGCGGTCGCCCCCCCAGCACAGCAAAGACGCGACCGCGCCACTTTTCTCTGCGCCTTTCAAGTTCGCGGGGCAATCCAATCCTCTCACCCTTCGAAACTTTAGCATGGCCAGTGGAACGAAAGACGGACCTGGCACGGCTGCGCACTAGGGGCGCAATCGTGTCCCAATGATCAACGATGGGGGACAGGCTCGATGGCGGCGCTCCAATTCTTTGCAATTCCACGGCCCCCCACGCATAGGTAACATCATGACCGCAAGCAAAAAACATGTTGGTGACAAGCTCGGGCGCATCATCGCGGTGCGACAGGCTCCAGACTAGGGCCGCATCGCGCCGGGGCTCTTGCTCCTAGGCCCCGCGGAAAAAGTATCCCAAAATCAAAAGGTCATTGATTCGACCGCTCGGAGCTCAAAGGGGCCTGGGAGCTCATGCCTTGCCCCGACCTGTCGAAGAGAGACTTGTGGTCGGTGGCGAAGGCCACGGCCCCCGAGCCCTCTTCAACAGCAGCGCAGAGCGCCGTTAACTGGGAGCGCGGCGCGGACTGTCTCTCGCCCTCCAAGGCGCCGAAAAGCGCCAGGGCGTCCGCATCGCAAGCCTTGGCCATCAGAGAGGAGCCCCGCCGTGGACCATCCGCGCCTGCGCCGCCTGGGATCACCCGAACAAAACTCCTCCGGCGCCGCGCTCCGGAAGATGGGCCCGGCCTCCGAGGGGCCCTGGCCCCCCAAGAGGGCCGCTCGAGGTCGTCGGGCCCTTCCACCCCAAACCCCCCCGCACCCGCCCCGCGGCTCAATTGAAGGGGCGGCGGGGGAGAGGCCCGGGGCGCCACGGGGCAAGCGGGGGGGCGGGGGGCGGGGCTGCTCGAGGCCAGCAAGAGGCTGGGGCACTCGCCCTCGAATCCCACCAGCCCTTTGGGCGTGAGTGGTTTAGGGAGCTCTCTCTGTTCTCAACCCCCCTTCTTCCCCTTCGGGGAAGGGTTTACCCCTCCCCCTACCCCCTACCCATGGGCCTGGAGAGGTCCCTCCGCGGGTGGCCGGCGGGGTCTTTTTCGACTCCTGGGAGGGCTAAAAAACGACACCCCTCACGAGGATTCTGGCCCCGACGGGGGGGGGGAGAAAAGTGCTCCCCTCTTCTTTGAAGCCAAAATCATTGATTTTACTAAGGTTTCGGCCCCATTTGGGCCTTCCTCTTCTTTCAAGCCAGAACCATTGATTTTACTAAAAGGTTTTGGCCCCATTTTGCCCTTCTGAGGGGGCAGTGCTAATTGAAGCTCCCCTCTTCTTTGATCGATTTCCTCCAAGATGGCCCCAAGAAGCGCCCGGGAGGCACCAAGAGGCCCCAAGATGGCCCCAAGAGGCCCCCAGGAGGCCCCCAAGAGGATCCCAAACGGCCCAAAGAGGCCCCCCCGAGGCACCCAAGACGCCGAAAAACCCATCAGGACGACCCTCTACTCGCCTGGGCGTCGTTTCTGGACGGGCAGGAGGAGGGGCCCGAACGACTCACACCAGGACGAGGGGCCCGAACAACTCACACCACGAGAAGCCCGAACGACTCACACCAGGACGAAGAGCCCGAACGACTCACACCACGAAGAGCCCGAACGACTCACACCAGGAAGAAGGGCCCGAACGACTCACACCAGGACGAGAAGCTCGAACGACTCAAACCACGAGGAGCGTTTTCTCTCCCTCCTCCTCCGCCTCGTCCTTCTCCCGCTCCCACCACAAGGAGGATGTACAAGGAGGCGGGAGGAAGGAGGAACAGGGGAGATATGCGGGGGCAGGCGGAAACACGCTTGAGAAAACACGACTGTCGGCATGCTTCGCTAGAGTTGCTGTTTTGAGATGGGCTGGTGGGGATACGCGAAGCGTGAAGAATTCAGGGCCCTCGCTGGTGGGATATATGTAAATTGTCGGAGGGAAGTCCTCGGCTTCTCCTGGCTTGCAGCGAGCGCGCGTCGCATCAATTTGATAACTGCGTCGACTCGAGCTCTCCTTGGCCTGCTGCCCACCTGCAAGCATGCAGTTCATTTGTGCTCGCGAGGAACTGCCCCGCGGCGCGGGGAACGCTGCTGCGCGCGTCGGATCGAGTCGAGTTCCGCCCCCCGCAGCGAGCGAAGCGCCCTCCTCGCAGGCTGCGGCTGCAGCCCGAGGGCGCCCGCGGAGACCGTCGCCGAAGTCGCCCAGGACAGGTCGCAGTCCCAGTCGGCCAGCTGCGCCCCAACTGGCGTGAGCCCCCATCATTGAACGAACTCCCCGCGCGCTCGTCGCCAGCAACTCGCCGCCTTCAGGGCCCCGGCCTGACGTCGCGATCGCAGCGCTTAATCGGCCCAGTGGCGCGCGGCCAGATCCTCGGGCCTGTTTACAACAAGTGTCGCGGGAGCAACATCCTTGCTCGTCTCGCGCGTTTGCGCGGCTGCCCGATTCCCCGCCGCAATCGAATCAATGATCGAGGTCGCTGCTGTCACGGGTGAAAACCTGGGTCGACGCCTTCGAGCGTCGCGCCCGGGGGGGCGGTGAGGCATCGACCCACTGCCTGTCCAGTCGCAGCAGCAGCATGTCGTCGACGATAGAGCGCGCGCGGGGACAGTGCGCTCGCTGGAGTAGAGCTCCCGTGCACCTGTCCAGGGGCCCCATCGGCAATCCTGACCCGCTGCGCCGTGCGTCTCGCGCGGGCGATGCGTCGCGCACGGACGCTGCCGCGGTCGCCCTGGCCGCGGCTTTCTTCTGCGTCGCGTCGATGCCCCGGTCGGCGGCGTCAACGGCGGGCGACGCCGGCGCGCCTTCGCGCCGGAGCCGCTTCAAGCAGCGCGCGCATTACCCTCGAGCGGGCCAGCGCAAGCGTCTTGGATATCGGCGGAAGCTCGGCGCGATCGAAGGCCGCCTGCAGACCCCCGCCAGCGCCGGCCAAGCATTTGACCGCCAAACAAAAAATACCTCCTGATCGCGCAACGGCGTCGGCCACGAAGGACCAGAGGGTCGGCCCCTTCAGTCGCCCCTGCGCGCGCGAGGATGGGTGGCGAGATCAATCCGGCAAGCGTCACTCCTATGGGGGATCCAGCATGGGTCCCCTGAAGCGCCGCGATGGGCTGACCCGCCCATCCCCTCTGTCGGAAAATGCGCGGCGCGAGGAAGGGCCGGACCTCCGCCCGGATACATGTCGTTGGGTAGCCCTCATCCAATCCAACGTCTCCTAGTCGCCCCAGCTTGCCATAACATAAGCATAGAGCTTTTCCGAATCCGTCGGGAACGCGCCAGCTGTGAGCCCCCTGACTTTGCTGACTCATCCAAACAGGCACGATGTCATGCTAATGAGAAGGCCGAAGGGCCCTTCATCGCCGCGCGCCAGACGCCATGTAGGCCGTCACTCCGCGCGTCCGACGCTTGCGATCTTATCGTGCTCCGCGCGCGCAATGCGCGGAAGGGCGCGGGGCGCGCTGCCCGCGCCAAGCTTTTTCGGGGCCATGGCCGCCGCGGTCGCCGTCGCCTGGCGAGGCCAAAGTCCCTCGCCTCCACTGGCGATGAACATGTTCGCGCGCCCTTCTCAGGCTGGGCGAGGAAGCCGCCATGGGCCGCGAGGGCCCATGACGCCCGCACCCTTGGTCTTGCTCGGCAGCGAAATCTGAAATGCCAGAGCGAGCCTCTCGCCACCTACCGATGGGTCCGCGCAGATCATCTCGAGATGTCCGTTTGGCGCGTTCCAGTGCGTGGATACGTCTCTGTAGTATCCCTGGCTCGGATTTCCACGCGTCCGCAAGCCAACAGGCATGCCCCTTCTTGGACTGATGAGATGCATGAGCAACGGCTCTCATTGCCAATTCTTCCGCTCCTCCAAACTCGCGACCATCGCCTTCGCCGAGGAGTCAGAGGGCTCGAACTAGCTCTGCCAGGCAAAAAGAAACCTCATCCTCCTCCACTCTGAACAGCACCACATACCTCCTCTCGCTCAAGCCAGACAGGCGGCTTTTTTTCAGGAGAGCGCTTGTCTCCTCCACGATGTCGGCGCGCTTGTCATGCTCGCAGATTGCCGGGCACTGCCTTGCCAGCGCAGCTGCGATAGCCCACCACTTCGCGGTCTCGCGCTCGATGCGGGCGCGGCCAAGGCGTCGCTCGCGTCTTTCGCGAAGTGAAATGGATCGGTTCCGCCCAGCCGAAGTTGGTCCTTCGTTCGTGTTGTGGGGTCTCATCACGAAGCGCAGCCGCAGTCTCGAAACACGATACCGATCTGGCAAAGCGAAGAATCCCGTTCGCTGCCAGCGTGTCAGATTGCGTAGTAGATAGCGCGGTGGTAGCTGTCATCGCACTCCGCCGTTCGCAATGACATGGGGACGAGGTCTCTCTGTTCTCTGCCCACCCACGGTGCATCTCCCTGACGCAAGTATGGTGGCGCCCACATCGCCCTACCCGCGACGCGAAGTGAAGACTCTTTTGGCAGTGGCACTCGAGGGTCCAGCGACGACAGCTCAAAGGGGGGGGGCTTGATTGCGATTAAAAGGGGTCTCGCGCCATCGCCCTCAGCCACTTAACCCTGGATCGGTCTTGCTAGACGAATTACTGCCAGTCCTCCGGCGCCCCCGTGGACCTCTTTCATTGCAGTGGCGCGTTCATGTCCTTCTTTGGCCACCGCGAAATCGATAATGGGGCCTCTTTTTTCCCCCGTGTCGCTCGTGGCCGGTCCGAGGGCCGTAAGTAGAACGCCGTGCCAGTGGTTATGGTAAACGGAATCGATGGGCTGCTGCGTCGTCATGCCCCGCTCTCCAAGCACTCTCCACGGGCCAGCCAGCGTGTCACGGAAGGCCGCGGGCGCCCGCGCTCATGTGCGGGGCTCCAAATCGATGCATGGGGCTACACATAAAAAAAGGCGACGACTGTGCAGTACACTTACCGGACTTTCGATGCCTGGTGAGCGGCGCAAGCTCGCGACAGGGGTCCACTCCATATTCAGCTGTCCGGCCTGGTGGTGGCAATCGGCCTCTTGGCAAGGACCGTCTCTCCTCCAATTGCGCCCTCGGCAGATTTTCCCGTCAGGGGGGCATCGCATCGCGAGGACATTCAATCAATTTTTCGATCTGTGCGGAAATATGCGTTTCAACCATTGCCAACACCTGGTGTTGCTTGCCGCCCCCTGCTTGTCACCTCTCTGCCCAGTGGCCCCCCTCACTGATGCTCGAGAAGAACATGGGGCGGAACCTCCGCGTCGGCGTCGAGGGCAGGCCTGCTGGTCGCGGGGTCGCTACCGCCGCTCAGGAGCGGCACCAGGGGCACGAACTGGTCCAGCAGCTTTAGCAGGAGCAGCCTTGGGAAGCGGGGCTGCAAACAAAACTCCCTGGGCTGGTGGTGGCTGCCGGCTGCTCCAGGCAGCTTCCGCCGCGCCGTTGTTGGAGTCGGCCGCCAACTGCTTGGAGCGATCGGGGTTCACTGGATGGGCCTTGGGCCCAGCAAAATCGGGCTGCGCCAGCTGCGAGGCAGGCGCGGCGTCGCTTGGCAATCCACTCCTCGTCTAACTTCTTGATTTTGGCAATGGGGTCCTGCAACTTCTGAAAGGCCGCTTCAAGCTGAGGCCGCGCGCAAACTCCGTTCTGTAATCTGCAAAGGTACTATTTTCAGCCTCGTCCATCTCGTCTGAGTCCGAAGACTCGAAGATGCCGTAATCAATGAGGATACTATTGGGACCAATCTCGTGGGTGCCGCTGCTGGCCTGCACGGCCTGCAGTGCCCTGAATGCGGCACGGTGCCCGTTCTCCGCAATCGCTTGAGCCGTGACAGCTCACGGCGATGAGCTTGCTCTGCCGCCTCAAAACCAGAACGGCTCCGTAGCACAACCGTGGCCGCCCTTTCAGACGCTTACTCCTCCTTGCGTAAGTTAGAAAATGATTGGCCTTCTGCGTCGCCTCCCACGCATCCTTAGGCTGGGCCTTCGGCAGCTGGGCCTGCAAGTTCGCCTTGCTCGCCGTCGCCACCTCGGCTGGGATATCAGGGGTCAACAGGAGGTCGCACATTTGTTTCTGGCTGGTGCGTCCAGTCAATGGACTGGTGATGGCTGTTTTTTTTGTTGGCTTGCTTTTCCTCCCGCGCGCGCACGCCCCACCACCAACTTGTATGCGGAAGAATATATCCACTTTGCTGGACATTGGATTGCAAAGGTGACGAGCAGCCGCCACGCAAGTGGCGACGAACATCGCCAGGCCAAGCAAAGAGGATGAACGAGGAGGGCCAGGAGCCTCTTGCTACCCCAAGGTTTCCAGAAGTTGACCCACTGGCCGCACGTGCAAGATTCATTCACGATGACCTTGCCGTTGTAGATCCAATTTCAGCATTTGTCGCAACTGTACCAGGGTTGTCCATATTTGACTACTGCGACTGTTCCCCGAACAAGCGGGTGCACAGGAACTCCTGGCGCGAACCATGGTTCGGAACAAGCGTCAAACCGAACAGTCTTGGCACTGGTCTTGGGATAAAGGTCTCCACTGGTTCCACTGAGGACAAAAGCATCTCGAACCTAAACGGTTACGGATTAAGATGGGGAGGGGAGGGGTGGAAGGGAAGGAAGGATGGATGTGGCCAGGCATGGGTGCGACGATAGGGGGGGGAACACCCAAAGGAGGGGTCGAAGGACAGGAAGGAACGGGACCGTGTGGCCGGCCAGCACTGTCGACGCGAAGCTCTGCGCGGGCGCGGCGGACTCCTCGAACCTCGGTGCCTGCGCCTGCGGTGGGCCCACATGGTACCGGTCCTGGAGGAGGGCCCAGACGATATATGCGAGGAGGGGTCTCCGCCCGGCTTTGGCACGGTATGTAAAGGCGCGGGGGGGGCTGAGGGGGGCGAGTTGATTGCTTGCAGGAGGAGGACGAAGGCGTCGACGAGGCTGCAGGACTGTACCTCCCAGGAGGTTTCCCAGACTGCTTGGAGCGCACGGTATCGCAGCACGCAGTGCACATACAATCAGGACAACGGTGAATGAACTACTGACCTAAGAAGCCTGAGCTAGCTCTGTCCACCAGCATACCCCGAGGAGGATATCAGGGGCCATCCCAGAACAATAACTTCAAGGCGAAACTTCCACGCAACACCTGCTGGCATGCCAGTCTCTTCTCCGAAATCACGACTGCAAGGCCAGAAGGAGGAGGAGGAGGAGGAAGAGGAGAAGGAGGAGGCGGAAGACGATGAAATCCTCCAGCTGTCTCGAGCACCGCCGGTAACAGTCGAAGAGCCACTGGACGGAGACCACCGGGATCTTCTTCCGCAAAGCGCTAGCATGAGTCTTGCCCTCCAGCAGGCCGGGCACCCCGCAGACCACGTGGGTGATGTCCCCCAGACGGCTGTTTTGGTCGGCGACCTTAGCGCCGACGATCTCCACGAGCTTCTCGAGCTGGACACGCCTGCCCCGCCCGCGCTGCGAGGCCTCCAGCGCGGTGATCCGCACGTTGCAGGTGCTCATCTCCTGCAGCGGCAGCTGCCCCCGCGGCGGCTCGAAATGGGGCATCTCGCTCCTCTAAAGGAACACAACACGGCATAGAAGTTATTTCTCGGAGGACCGCGCCGATTTCCCGCATCGGCGCTGGACCCCACCCCGCCCTGGCACACGGAACGCACCAGGAGCGGCGCCAGAGGCGCTGCCAGGCGGGCGCAGCGCCGATCCAAAAAATTGCGCCGACCTCGGGGAACTGATGTCTGTGCACTTTGGTCTGCTCCGCTCCTCTGGTACAGCACCCCGTCGGCCACGCACGCCCTGACCCAGTGGGCGGTGCCAAGCGCCGCAGGGGGCCTGCGCGCCGACAGGTGCTCCACGGCCGAGGCCGCGCCTCTGAGCAGGGACCGACCGTCCCCGCATTCCTATAGGCCTACCACGGCATGTTCTTGGAACGAGAGGGACTCGAAACGATCGGGCCACTGACTCCCTTGAGAGGGGACCTGAGTGAGGAGGTGCAAGACATCACGGGTAGGGGTTCTTTTTGTCGCAGATGTATCAAGCACGCCGCCCCTTATCGCCTTCTCACGAATGCCAAACATGGGGCCTAACTTAGGAGATGGCTTCATTGCGCTATTCGGACTATGCATTCCTTTTGTTTGATGACTGTATCTTCATATATATATATGTATGTATAGATGTATGTAGTTGTGTATATATGCATATATGTATACATGCATTACGCATGCATGAACATCAGTACGTATGTATGTATGCATGTGTATGTATTGATATATGTCTGCATGCATGCATGTCCATATGTATGTATGCACGTACTTTTGTATGTGTGTCTGACAAGATGTACGTACGTAGGTATGTGTGTATGTGTATGTGTGTAGGTGTATGTGCATGTATGTATGTACGTATGTATGTATGCATGCATGGATGCTTGTATGTATGTATGCGTGTATGTGTGTATTCTGCATATGTATATATGTAGGTGTATATATATATATAAATGTGTATATACAAATGTAACCAGATGTGTATGCACATATGAGCGAACCAATGATCTTATCATTTCAAGACGCTATACAAAACCAGGCCTGTCCCAACCATAATGTCCTAAGAACCTGTCGTGGCAACCACGAAGCAGTGACTTAGAACCTTCTTTGGTGGGCTTTTAGGCGAGCGAGGACGCTTCGCCACTGCTTGACGCCTGCGCCCCCGACGCAATACTAGATGAAGAAAAAACGCCATAAGCATAAACTTTTGGCGCTCGGCGCGGATTTCCTGTATCTGCGCTGGACCCCCCTCCCTGGCGCGCGGAGCGCGCCCGGGGCGGCGCCGGAAACGCCGCCCAGGAGGACCCAGCGCGGATGTGAGAAACCCGCGCGGAGCGCCAAATGTTTATGTTTACGCCGTGTTTTCTTCTTCGAAATACACCAGGTCCCCCTCGGCCCCAGCGCCCGGCGGCCCAGCCGCTCCCGCGGCGGAGAGGCCCTGCGCCAGGACGGCGCCGCCCTGTGCGCGCACGGCTTCCTCTACAGAGGAACAGCAGGCGGCATACTGTCGGGAAGTGCTGCCTGGCGTTAGGTTGGGCATGTCCTCCTACAAGCGGATTTGGGAGGAAAAAATAAAAAGACTCGAATAATTATCAAACATGGTCAACAACTGTTGGAAAATCGTCCGAAAACGATGTGATGACTATTTTTGAATATTCCTCCTGTAGAGGGGCACGCCCGACTAAAGCCTAGCGTGTCGACGCGGCGGCCCTTGCGACACGCTGTGCCCTGCAAGCGGATAGCGTGTCGCTCCACCCCGCGGGGCGGGAGGCTCGGGAAAGTTCGGCACGTGGACGCCTAGTGACCGCGAAGTGGATAACGTGTCGTTTCGAAACGTGGTGGGCCCGAACCGACAGAGCGACACGCTATCTGAAAGTTCCTGAATGTACACAAACACTTGTGGAGGTCCTCGCGGTTTTCTTGGATCTGCGCTGCCCCCAGCCCTGGCGCGCGGGGCGTGCCAGGGGCGACGCCGCAGGACCGCCTCGGGGGCCCAACGCAGGTCCAAGAAACCCGCAGGACCTCAGAGAGTGCATCTTGCCCTCGCTCGGACGCCCATCCCCCCCTTGCATTGTATTGGCTTCGTGCGCGTGTCAGCTTTCCAGACGGTCCAAGATCGGAGCAGGGCGGGTTGAGGCATTGGGAACTTAAAAATCGGCCCCTGGACCCTTCCCCAGGGTCCAGACGCACCAGTTTGCCGCGCTGCGCCCAGCCGTGGCGACGAGGGGGGCACCCGACGGCCAACAACAAGTGTCTCAAACCGCCCTCCTCAGGCAAGATGCCCCAAGATGGTGCAGATTGCCTGGCCTTGGCCTTGCCGAAACACCTGCACACGTCCGAGCGGCGCCAAGTTATCTGTGTGCACTTTGTTCTTCTTCGATCCTCCATCGCCCGGGCCTCCGGGTCCCCGGGCTGCCAGCCCGCGAGCGCCACCGCCACGCCCGCGAAGACCTGTTGGACAACGTCCAGGGGCGTCGCCGCCGTAGGGTCCGTAGCCTCGTCGTGGGTGGCTCGTCTATCCTGGGCCCCGGCCTGGCCTATCTGTTTGCGGCTGCTTCCCCTTGCCTCCTCTTCCTTGCCTCCCTCCTTTTCCTCCTGCTTCCTGCCCGCTGTTTCCGCCCGGCCCCCCTTCCCCCTGCACTCCCGCCCATCCCGGCCTCCCGCATGCGCGTTCGTTGTCGTCTGCCCGCTTTCCGCCTCCTCTTCCCCCTCGGCCGGACAGCACAGCCTGCCCGGGACCAGCGTGGCGGCGCGTGAAACGTAGACTAGGAATCCCCGATGGCGAATCCGTACGTTCCTGGGCGGGGTGGGCCATCAAGCGCTCATCGACCCCTGAAAATAAAAACAGGACTACCCATGTTGGACATACATTGACAACTCTGTGTCGCTATAGTGTAAATTACGAACCGCGTCCACATCGCAGAGAGCGGAGGGTGGGTGGGAAGGGTCATGCTGGCATGACACTCCTTGACAAAAACCTTGTCCGATGTGAGGCCGCCGCGATCGCTGCGGCGACCTACAAAACAAACTTGGACGCTTGGTTCGGATTTTAATTAGAAGACGAAAACACCATAAATATACAATGTTGGCGCTCTGCGCGGATTTCTTGGATCTGCGCTGGACCCTCCTCCCCGGCGCGCGGAGCGCGCCGCCAGGGGAGGAGCCGGAGGCGCCGCCAGGTGGGCCCAGCACGGATCCAAGAAATCCGCGCGGAGCGCACAAAGTTTATGCTTATGCCGTTTCTTCTTCGATTCATGCAGCAGTGCATGCGCGATTGGGGGGTTGATGCGCTTCCCCTGACCCTATCCCCACCTTAACCTATCCCCACCCAAACGTTTGCCCGCGAAGACCCCCAGCCGCAGGCCGCCGGGGGCCCCAGCGGTGCCCGCCGCAGGCTCCGTGGTCGCGGCGGGCGCCGCAGGCGCGGCGGCGGGTGCGCAGAGCGCAGGCAGCGCGGGCGCGGCGGCGGGCTGGGACCACGCGCCCCGCGCGGGCGGGTCGGAGGGGGCGTTCTTGAGGGCGCGCACGGGGGCCTCTTCAGGGAAACAAGCTATGACTTCAACATCGACTCGGAGGTCCGCGCGGATTGTTCGGATCGGCGCTGGACCCCCCCTCCCTGGCGCGCGGAGCGCGCCAGGGGCGGCGCCGGAGGCGACGCCAGGGGGTCCCAGCGATCCGAGAAATCCGCGCGGGGCCTCGGAGTTTTTGCGTTTATGCCATTGTTTGTTCCTCTGCTCTTGCGGAGGGCAGGCTGCAGTCGGGAACTCGTGCTCAGCGTGTTGCCCTGACGCGCGGATGGCGCGTCGCTCCGCTCCGCGGGGCGGGTGGGTCGGAGAGGCTCGGGGCGTGGACGCCCGGGAACCGCGAAGTGGGCAGTGTGTCGCGCCGAAGCGTGGTGGACCAGAACTGGCGGAGCGACACGCTGTCGAAGTGCCCCGCCGTAGCCACGCTCAGAAGAAGCACCCCGACGAGCGAAGCCGCTTGGTAAGCGCAGCCACGGAAGGACCCGATCAGGGCGGGGTGGCGCTGCAAACGCCCAGGACTGCGCCGCCAAAGCCGGTTCTGGGGGTCGGGGTGATTCTTCCTCCCCTTGATCTTGAGGGCCCAGGGACCTGTGCACAGCACCTCCTCTCCTGCTGGGCAAGGCGCATAAAATGTCGAGCCGTTGGGATTCCGGCGGAACCTCTGCGCGCCTGCCCACACGTGCCAGGCCACCTTTCCAGAGTGCCATGCCTCGAGAGGTGTGGTGCACTGATTCCTGGCGCCCAGTGTCGGCCTCGCCATCCGCGGGCGGCCTGAGGGCCCTGGCGGCCGCGTGGGCGTCGTCGCACCTGCGCTCGAAGAGCAGGCGGAGGAGGAACACGACGAGGACGGGGAGGACTAGGCGATGGACAGGCGCAGGAGAAGGGCAAAAAGGAGGAGGTCGAGGAGGAGGAGGAGGACAGGCAGAGCAATAGAAAGAGAAAGAAAGAGGAGGATGAGGAGGAGGACGAGGAGCAAGAGGACACGTAGGAGGCAGAGGGGATGACGGCGTGGGCTGGCTCCCTTGCGCCTGGGGTTGTAGGCCACCTTCTGCCGCTGGAACTGCGACTC